AGAATTTTTATTTAATCTTTAGCCTTCTACAAGTCTTCATTACATACTTTCAGTAGGAACAATAATAAAAATAATCTAACTGACCCAGATGCCTAATCCTAAAAATATAAATGCCTGTCTGTTAGACTAACAGATAAAAATGATGGTAGCTGATATAAATCTGTTCACAAGGTCATAAATATTTACTCTCAGTCACAAACGGCATGTTTACTGAAATGTGGGGTTTTTTTATTACTACTGTCTAAATCAAAATGATGTGGAAATTGAACTGCTACTTAGAAAACTTCAGCAATAGTACTACTATTATTTATATATGAGCAATCACACACATACCATGATGTTGAAAATCCAGGAATGTGTCACAGCTATCTTCTTTTCTAGCTTGTTTGTAACAAATGCCTTTGATAAATAAGTAACATTTATCAAAATGTTTGAAGTCCAAGGATTACTTCAGGATTCTTTTTAAAAATATATTATGGTGCTTTTGCATATATGTGTTGAGAGGTGAACCCTATTTTTAAATATTAGTTTGTGTGTGAAGTATCCACTTAATGGTAAGATATATGACTTGCCAATGGTGTTGCAGAGCAATAAATATGCTCACAACTTTTTAAAAAAGCAAGTGAATCTTTAATAACTTCCTAAAATCTTCAGTTTTCTGTGCCAGCCATACCCACCAAGAGCTCAGTCCTGCTCCAGTTGAAGTCAATGGGAATTTAACGTCGACTTCAATAGGAACTGAATCAAACTTCTAGTCTGTCATTTTCTTAGTCTACCAAGGCATTTATATCATGCTCATCACCATAGTAACTTAATGCTTCTAAAATCTATCTCATCCAAATCCCAAGACAAAATTTCCATTGAAATCACTACAAGTTTTGTTTGAGTGGGGGCTGGGTTATCTGACCTTACAAGAAAATATAGCGAGGGCTGTGAAATCAACTCTCCTCTCTCCCTCCTACTTCAATTATACCTAGAAAGTAAATTAATACTTGTACAGATCTATATATTTATTCTCATTTTATATTTGATTTTCCATCTTTATGAAACATGGTAGAAACCAAGAACTCATAAAGACACATAGGTCAGATTGATTTAAAAATACATACACATCACGTAGCCTAGTAATTCTGTACAAAATATGAAATAAATAGTTAAATCTCTGTGTTGTTAGTGCAATTGTTTTCTACCTTTTAAAGATTATTTTAACTGCATTGTGTCATAAAAAGGATCTTATCTAATGCTCTTTTAAGTGGGTCCTTCCACAACTCATTAAATGTTTCTTACCGTACGTGGTACTCACATTTAAGTTGTAAGCATTGTTGAAAGACCATGGTTTTATAGGATTCTCCTTTAAATGAGGTATTGACCCTTTTCAGAGCTTGGAGTGGTTTATCTCTGAAAATTCAATAACTATGAGCCTTGACTTTCATTGTGAACTTTATTAAATGTGAATCTTTCTACTTTAGCCTGTTCCTATGATTTTTACTTGTCTCTTGCTAATTTATGTGTCCAAAGTCTTCTATATGAAACATTAAGTATCAGGGGGTAGCCGTGTTAGTCTGTATCTACAAAAACAACAAGGAGTCTGGTGGCACCTTAAAGACTAACAGATTTATTTGGGCATAAGCTTTCGTGGGAGAAGTTTTTACCCACGAAAGCTTATG